TAATTATTATTACTAATAATAATGATGATAATCATCCATTAGTTACATGAAGTGAAATAATAAAGTTATAAATACTTGGGAGTTGTACTTATCAGCTATTGTTTCACTTGGTTAGAGTCAAATTTCCATTTTAGATTTCATTGTCCCAGTACATTTGCAGGGCGAAAAGAGTAGTGGTGTAACCCTGGCATCCTAATAATCCCCCTCTATGAATTGGCTACATTACTTTGTTCTCCCCCCCCCTCTCCGACAGCAGGCGGAGCGACGCACCGGTTGGAATATCCTCGGTCGCATTTAATGACAACGTCAAGCGGACCCTGCTGAAGCAGGATTAACGCTAGGATGAGAGAGAGTACATTTGCAGGGCACTGTAAATACAATTAATTAAGCTGACCTTCTCCTTCATTTCACTGTTGAGCTGTTGCTTTAAATTTGAAAACTCCACTTTCAACTTGGAAAGCTGCTGTTCCTGTTTTCACAAAGAGATAATTTTAGTGGTTATTTTTAAGAATAATCTTCAATTAACTAAATAAATTAAGGCATTTGTCTCCACCCTGAAACAGTTTAACATTTTCCATTAGAAAGTAATGAGAATAAACACTTGATTAAAGGGGAACTGCTATATTTCGGGTTAGAAAGAATCAGTAATGATGAGTCCATTTCAAACCACAATAAAAGTAAAATGTACACATTACTTTTCACCCCTCTACTCTTCTTAATACCACCTTCCACGGTCTCCTCTATTGTTATTGTTGTATTGTTGTAATTATAATTGTGTCCTTTCTTGTGAAATCTTCTTATTTATTGTTGTAGTCTTTTTATTTATTGTTATTGTCATTGTGTAAAGCGCTTTGAGAAGCCACCTTTAAAGGCGCTATATAAAATAAAGTTTATTATTATTATTACATTAATGTGTAAAACCTCCAATTTACATCAGAAAATAGACACAATTTTCAGGTATGCGCAGCACCATATTCTGCGGAAAAATACTACTTACTAGTTAACTGCATGCAGATCACTTTGGAACATTTCTTTTGTAAAATGTGTGCTGCACAACCTGTACTTATTTGTTCGTACATTACATCGCAATTCAAGATTAAATAACTGATCTGAGAAATTGGGACTGCAGTTCCCCTTTAAATTAGAAATGTGCAGTTAAGTATTCCAAAAACAATATTTCATGATGTAATCTAGTAGTACAACAGCATTTTCTAAAAACTTTCAGTGTTTATTAAAGTTGTTCAACAGGGAATATTATACTGTGTACTTTAAGTGAAGTTATATCATTCTTACCAGGGATGTTTTAGCAGCGATCAATTCTATCTCTTTCTTTTTCTTCTGATGAAGTTCAGCTTCTTTTTCTTCCACATTTTTGTCATACTGGTTCTATTACATAGTAATACAAACATAAGGCTAATCAATTATCACATAACTAAATGGCATTTTCTGCAAATTAATAAAACACAGAACATATTAACAATAAATTGTTTTACTATTTTTACCATAACTTGGTACAGTTTTACCTTATGCTTTTCCATTAAAGTAACCATTTCAGATATCTTGTGTTGGCATGTTATTTCAGTTTCTTGTTTATTCTTTAATGCTTCATCAACTGCAGACTTCAGTTTTTTCATCTGAGAAAAGACAAACAAAACTGTGTTAACTGACTCATTGCTGGAAAATATAACACAGGACCATAAGATGGGTTTGCAAAAAAAAATCTGATTTATTTTCCTTGTTCAATAGTTTAGTAGCAAATTGAATCTATGTTTTGTTTTTTGAAGGAAGAAAGAGTTTGGGCATAAACGACCTGCTTGGGAATACCCCTCCTAATAGCCATGACATTTTGAATTATTAATCCTAAATAAATTCTGTGTTAGTTTCCAACTGTGACCCTGTATCCTTCCTTACAGTAGGTACTAAGTGTGATTTTTTTTCTTAGGTTGTCTCAAGATTTCAGTAGACCCATTATGCTTTTCTATTATTATAAACCCTAATCTGTCTCAACCTTTAGAGATTTAATGTATACATCATAGTTACTTTATTATTATCACAATTTCCCATTGTCTCTGTCACATCTATTTACTTTATTGTATTGTGGTAGTTTAAAAAGAAAATCAATAAGAGCATCACTCTGTGCCTTTACATCTTGCATTTAGGTGCAATAATTGACCATTTTTAACAATATAAATT